AAGAGTAGGTAATCTGGGCTTGGCCATCCCCAATTTCAGGTGGAACCCTGCAGCCAGTTCCTTCCCTGTATCACCTTTCCACCTTCATTATGCCCTCTGTGAATCGAGAGTTCTGTATACGTTTTCTAATTATATCATTACATCCTTATGAGGTTAGCATTTCATCTCCATTTTGCAGATTAGGAAACTGAGGATCAGAAAAGTTAAATAACTTTTTCAATGTCACACAGGCAGTGAGAGACAAAGCCGGTATTTGTGCATTTGGTTTTTTGTAACTTTGTGTTGGGTTCAGAGGTGCGTATACAGGTTTGGTACATGGCTAAATTGCATGTCTGGGGCTTTGGTGTGCAGATTATTTCATCAGCCAGGTAGTAAAGCATAGCATCCAACAGGGAGTTGTTGGGTTTGGTTTGTTTTGTTTTGTTTTGTTTGTTTGTGTTTGTTTTGAGACAGGGTCTCTATTGCTCAGGCCGGAGTGCAGTGACATGATCACTGCCACTCACTATAGCCTCAACCTCCCGGGCTCAGGTGATCCTCCTGCCCCAGCCTCCCAAGTAGCTGGCACCTCCATCGTGACTAATTTGTTTGTATTTTTTGTGGAGACAGGGTTTCACACAAAAAAAATGTTGCCCAGGCTGGTCTCAAATTCCGGAGCTCTAGCGATCTGCCTGTCTCAGCCTCCCAAAGTGCTGGGATTACAGGTCTGACCCACAGCACAGGCCCGAGATAGGTGGTTTTTGATCCTCACCCTCCCCACTCCCTCCACCCTCAAGTAGGCCCTAGTGTCTGTTGTTCCCTTCTTTGTGTTCAGATGTATATTCAATGTTTAGCTCTCACTTATAAGTAAGAACATGTGGCATTTGATTTTCTGTTCCTGTGTTAGTTTGCTTAGGGTAATAGCCTCCAGCTCCATCCATGTTGCTGCAAAGGACATGATCTCATTCTTCTTTATGGCTGCATAGTATTTCATGATGTATATTTATCACATTTTCTCTATCTGGTCTACCACTGATGGGCATTTAGGTTGATTTCATGTTTTTGCTATTGTGACTAGTGCTATGATAACCATACATGTGCATGTATCTTTATGGTAGAACAATTTATATTATTTTGGGTATGTACCCAACAATGGGATTGCTTGGTGGAATGGTAATCCTACTTTGAGTTCTTTGAGAAATCTCCAAACTGCGTTCCACAATGGCTGAACTGATTAACATTCCCCCCAGCAGTGTATAAGCACTCTGTGTTTTGTTTTGTTTTGTTTGTTTGTTTTTGATGGGAGGCGGGGGGATGGAGTCTTGCTCTGTGGCCAGGCTGGAATGCAGTGGTGCAATCTTGGCTCACTGCAACCTCCACCTCCCAGGTTCAAGCGATTCCCCTGCCTCAGCCTCCTGATAGCTGGGACTATAGGCGCGTACCACCACCATGCCCGGCTAATTTTTTTTTTTTTTTTAATTTTAGTAGAGACGAGGTTCCACCATGTTGGCCAGAATGGTCTCGATCTCCTGACCTCGTGATCTGCTCGCCTCAGCCCCCCAAAGTGCTGGGATTACAGGCATGAGCTGCCTCGCCTGGCCAGCACTCCCTTTTCTCCACAACCTGACCAGCATCTGTTAATGTTTGACTTTTTAATAATAGCTATTCTGACTGGTATGAGATGGTATCTCATTGTGGCTTGATTTGCATTTTTCTAATGATTAGTGATGTTGACCATTTTTTCATATGCTTGTTGGCCACATGTATGTCTTCTTTTGAAAAGCATCTGTTTGTGTCCTTTGCCCACTTTTTAATGGGGTGGTTTTTTGCTTGTTAACTTGTTCGAGTTCCTTATAGATTCTGGATATTAGACTTTTGTCGGGTGTATAGTTTGCGAGTATTTTCTCCTGTTCTGTAGGTTGTCTGTTTACTCTGTTGATAGTTTCTTTTGCTGTGCAGAAGCTCTTTAGTTTAATTAAGTCCCATTTGTCCATTTTTGTTTTTGCCACAATTGCAAAGCCAGTATTTGAACCTGGATCGTCTAACTCCAGAACCCACCCTGTCTCTACCATGCTAGGCTGTCTGCAAGGTCCTTATTGGTTCTCCATGGCAACAGGGAAACAGTCCTGATGCTTCTTACTAACATGGTCCCAGGGCCTCTGCTTGCATTCTTCTTTTTCCACACACTCTGCCGAGCCTGGATTATATCTTAGGCTGTGGGAATCAAAGGCTGGGTGGTACCAGGCTGCTGGAGCCTTCTGTGTGGCTCTGGAGTCAGGAAACTGTGGAGATTTGAGGGGGCACACAGGGAGATGTTGCAGTAATTCCAGTGAGAGATGACTCACTGCTTATCTGAGAAGTTGGGGCAAAGCTGCCACTTGTGACCATACCGTGAATAGGGAAGAAATTGCCAGGTAGACAAAACATCCTCAAATGTTACTGTATTTTTTTCCCCTTTTTGGTCCTCTCCAGGGTAATCTATTACCTGGGGAAATCAGCCCTCACCTGACACTTCCGATTGTCATTCACCTGGTGAACACAAGGGGCCATGTCACAGCTGTCCTTCTGCCCCTCCACATGCTCTGGAGAGCTGGACTCCTCAGCAGTGCCTGGTCCACAGGAGAGAAGGATAGGGCAGAACCGCGACAGCCAAGGGAGGTGATAACCACATGCTCATCTGGTTCCCAGCTCTTGCTTTTATACCCACGCCCCACAGGGAGACAGCAATTATCCGCTGGACCCACTTTACAGCTGAGGACATGAGGCTTAGAGAGGTGCAGTGGTTGCCCAAGCTCATGAAGCCAGGGAGCTGCAACGGCCTGGGACAGCCACGTTTTCAGTCACGGTGGTATTTTCTATCCCCGCCCCCAAGGGCCGAGAGTGGTTATCCCTGCTAGGGCAGGGTCCTCACTGCTCCCCCCACCCTCATCTCTGCCCTGAGAGCCCCCAATACAGGTGTCCACAGAATGGGAAAGGCTGGCACCCTTCAAAGGACGCCAGGAGCATTGGTTGAGCACTGCCCAGCCGACCCCTGCCCACCTTCCGCAGGAAGCCCGCCTGGGTGAGTTCTGAGAGCTTTCCTAGCGCTGAGCTGCAACGAAACTGGAGCCCTCTCGGCCTCCAGTGCAGAGGGGACACGCTGACCAGGATGGAAGTTGGGGGACTGGGTGTGGGAAGAAGCCATCCCACTGCAGGGGCCGAGGCTGTCCATCTTTGTGCCCCTGGTTCTATGCCGGTGCCTGAGGCATGGGAGGTTCTTGGAAATGCAGTCAGATGCTGGGTGAAGCCCCGGGAGGGGCTATGAACGCTTCTGCTGGGAACTCCTAGAGGGGCGGCACAGAGAGGCTCTTTGATGCGACCAGCACTCAGAGAGTCTCTGGCTTTCGTGAGGTCGTGCCTCAGGAGAGGAGACACTTCTCCTTTTCATCTGTAAAACAGAAATGATATTTGTCACCTTTTCTTCTCTGAGGCCTAAAGAGATGACAGAATGCTGCTGGTCCCACCCTGAGCCCGTGGACTCCCAGCAGGATGTGGGGTGGCCCCTGACAGGCCTGGACGGTTTGCTCTGTGCTTGCTGGTGGACACGCTTCAGCCCTCTGTCTCCATGGCCCCAAATCTGGTCTGTGGCTCCTGGGCCCCCACCAGCATGGAGGGCAGGGGTGGGCCCCAGGAGCCCCTGACCACCAGTGACTTCTTGTCTCCAGCCGCCCTCCTTCCTCTTGATCCCCCCCGACCCCCCGCCACCTCCTCACAAAGATGGCTGTGTGCTGAGGGACTGTGGCTTCCCTGGGCCCTGGGAAATTTATCACTGAGGTTTCAGAGGACTCTATGAAAAGGATCTGGAGAAAAAGTGTGGAAAATAAACAAGCCAGTTCCCAGCTCAGCCTCTCCTGAATGCCACAAGTAAACAGCCACCTCGGAGGCCAGCCCGGGATGTTCTTATTTGGCCTCTGTGGTTACACCTGCCCCTTCCCCGCCCAGTTCCTCCTCCTTGACTTTGAGAGCCTCATAAGTCAGGGAACACACCCTCCACTGGCCAGTCCTTGTGCTGCAGGGACGCTGGTGGCCGGACACAGGAGGAACATGTATATGGGAGAGAAGACGGCCGGGGGTCCCAGCTCAGCCCTGCTCCCTCTGAGTCAGTCCCAAGCCCGGACCCTCCCCAGCAGGCAGACAGTGACCTCTTGGTTGGTTGGTGAGTTTAACTTTGATGGTGCAGAATGATGGGACTTTTCTCCAGTTTTGTGGCATCTGAGAAGCTTTACTTCTTAAACATTGCTTTAGGTTGGATAGACCAAAGCTAATTTTCTCGTTATGTCTCTCCAAGGTGGGGCCTACCTGTGAGCAAACCCTCATACGTTCATTTACTTGGTAGGCTACCTGAACAAAAATGTCAGATTTCTTTGCTTTGGGCTCGAGTCCTATCAGCTCAGGGGTCTGGTGTAAGGTGGCACCAGTGATTTCCAGAAACTCAGGCACTATTCTGAGTGACTAAGTCTGTGGGATAGGAAGCACATTTTCCATCTCTTAATAACTTCGATTTACTTAGTGACCAACTTTAAAACCAAGCACCTGGTGAGAAGCGGGAGAGCCGGGCTTGGCAGTGGAGGGTCCTCACCTTGCATCCAGGAAGTGGCGGAGGGCTCTTCTCATTCTCTGTGGCTGTGCTGAGCTGAGTCTGCAAGCCTCTGGGATTTGGGGAGTGGGGCACTGCCAGAAGGTTCTGGTTCCTGCTTTGTCCTGCTGCTGCCAGGCTTCTGGAGAGGGTGGTTGTGGGGTGAGTCCTGCATTCCGCACATCCACTGGTTCCAATTCTACATATTGGGCTTCCGAAGAAAGTTCTGGTTCATAAGAGGGCTTCACAGCTTAGCCGTCTGCAGACTAGTCTGCAGGTTGATCGGCTTTCTGTCGTGTGCGTGCTGTTCCTGTTCACA